AGAGAGAGAGAGAGATTACCATTCATTTCTTTCAATGCGAGAGCAAGGTCCGAAGGACTAGCAAAACTAACAAACCCATAACCTCGGGTCTTCCCCGTCCGCTTGTCTCGAACCACCTAAGCACAAAGTGAACACATAATCAGAACTGGAGCATGAAAATGACACAAAACCCAGTTACATGTGCACAAGACACAAGATTCATTTCAAACAATCTTTTAATTTGTTCTCTGGCGAAAATAAAGAGCATGGGCAAACACTGTTTGCTATTCATCACTCTTGGTCATGTTTTTCATTAAGAGATAACAAGGCAATGGATTGTCATTAATCAATCCCCAAAACCACACCTTGACAAAACAAACAAGAAAGAAAGAGAACGAGTAAGATAGTGGCACACTAAACTTTCCTATATCCATACATGTATCTCTTGCAAGAAATTAGACGCAAAAATTCTGAATGCCCCCCAAGAGTATGTTGCCCCAATATTACATAACTCTTTGCAAAGCCAAAGAAGTAAAAGAAATTTTGGCCATTTTCTCAATTTCAATAGAATGCAACTAGTTCTAGGAAGAAGTGTAAGATTAGAACATGTATGCATGGAACTTATAACAGGTTCTCCAGAAACAAGTACTTCAGGTTGGACCTTTCTCCATCTTTTAGGTTCACTAGGATTCTTACCGATTAGAACCCACAATTATCTTGGCAGGAGACTGATAACCTCATTTCTGTCTCAGCAAATCATTTCTGTCCCAAAAATGGTGTAATATTCCAGGCATAGCTTTCTCTTCTAGCTTACATGAGCAGTTTCTTGCTCGAGTTGATACTCTCCAGTTTGCACCTTTATTTTTCTTAGGATGATGGTACCCATGATCAGCTAGGTGTCTCTGCATGAAATTGAGGTGGTTGGGTTTGTTATCAACATATTTTATCTCCATTTTTGTTTCACTGAAATCAAATTGGACCTGAAGCATCAAGAAAGTATGGAATATCTTTAGCCCCTCAGGATCTTGCATAGTAATTCAATATTAGATGTGGCAAGATAGGAATTGGGATCCAGGATCCCCGAGGACCCGAGAAGGTGATTAGCAGGATGTCTCCAATCCTCAGACCATTTGCAGGGCCTCATTAATCCAGGAAATAGCAAACCGAGGATTTGATTGACCTTACACATCTCCCTAGAACTTTGCTATAGTACCTTGTGATTGTGAATCATGACTTCCAATAGAAAGACATTACTTGTTACCTCATCCACAAACTCATTATGTACAACTTATAAAGAACCGAAAATAAGGACACAAAAAAAAATCCTTGTTACCCTTTTTCTTATCCAGATATCCCACAGTGCCCCTCAGTTGATATCATCTCCCACCGATATGCTTTGGATACCAGAAGCTTATGTTTCAAAGGATAGAGAGGGAAAGGAAGAGTTCAGCTCTATATTTGGTGCACGGCTAGATGGCCTAGAAGTATTGAGCTCTGGAGATGGATTTCCAAAACCTTGTCTGCAATCTTCAACCCATTTACTTGCTTGGCTAACTTGTTCGTTCTGATCCAAGTACTGGACCTTGGGTCCATGATGGGAAGCGTGGGAGAAGGTAGGGGAAGTTGGATGTGTATGGTTCGGTGGAGGGGCCAGGGGTTGGTAACATGGTGGCGACTGGTTGGGGTTAGCCAGAAAGGAGAGTTTAGGGTCACACGATTGAGGAAACCATGGTTACCGGTTCCCCCTCAAAACATTCTGGGAAAATGTGCCACATCCATTGAAATGAAAGGTGCACATGGCTGGGCCACTCCTGTTGGAGTGCGTCACCAGCAATATCAAACCGTCCCACCCCACCCCACCCCACCCCACCCCAAAAGAGAGAGAGAGAGAGAGAGAGAGAGAGAGAGAGAGAGAGAGAGAGAGAGAGAGAGAGAGAGAGAGA